GAGCACAAGCAGGGGGAGCAGCAGAGGAAGAGGGAGAAGCAGGCTCCTGGTTGAGCAGGGAGCCTGATGCGGGGCTTGATCCCAGGACCCTGGGATCATGACCAGAGCTGAAGGCAGACGCTTAACCGACTGAGCCCCCCAGGCACCCCTCTTTTGGTTAATTTCTAAGTGTTTTATTCTTTCCGATGCTATTGTTAGTGGAACTTTTCTTTTTCTTTCTTTTTTTTTTTTAAGATTTTATTTACTTATTAGAGTGAGAGAGAGCAGGAGAGTAGGGTGAGGGGCAGAGGGAGAAGCAGACTCCCCACTGAGCTGAGCAGGGTGGGGGAATCTGATGCGGGGCTCGATCCCCGGGCCTCCAGGATCATGACCTGAGCTGAAGGCAGACATTTAACCCACTGAGCCACCCAGCCACCCCTGGAATTGTTTTCTTATTTTACTTTTCAGAATGCACATTGTTAGTGTATAGAAACACAACTCATTTTTGTGTATTGATTTTGTAATCTGCTACTTTGCTGAATTTGTTTATTCCTGCGGGGGGGGGGGGGGGGTGTGTGTGTGTGTGTGTGTAATACTTAGGAGTTTCTACATATAAGCTATATCATTTGTGAATAGGGATATTTTACTTCTTCGTTTCCAATTTGGATATCTTTCTTCTGCTTGCCTTACAACTCTGGCCAGAGCTTCCAGTTCTTAGTTAAAAAGAAGTGGGTAGAGCAGGTATCCTTGTCTTGTTCCTGATTTTAGAGGAGAATCTCGGTCTCTCACCACTGGGTTTGATGTTAGCTGTGAGTTGTTCATATATGGCTTTTATTAAGTTGATGTTTCCTCCTAGTCCTAGTTAAGTGTTTTTATCTGCATCTTACTTTTTGCATAATAATACCTTGAAACTAATCCAGAATTGTTTTGTATTTCTTATGCTGTTAAGTATTTTTGAAGACATACTTTTGGGAAGAAAATTACAGAGTAGCAAATACAGTCCAGCAGCACATTAAAGAATAGCAGCATCTTCTTACTGGGAAGAGTTAATCTTGGGATGTAAGGAACCATTCATCATGAGGGACTTATTAATATAATTTAGCAAATTTATAGGTGAAACAGTCTTACAATTTTTTTTTTCTTTTCTGGTAGATACTTAATGGGCATTTGCTAGAACTTTAAGTCCATTCTTCTTTATTTCATTTAAAAATTGGAGACCACCACTTCCTTAACATGTTAGTCATCCAAAGGCCAGAATCACATGTTATGGTGAAACATTAGAAACATTCCCATTATCAGGTATAAATTGGAAGCCCATCATCACTACTTCTAGATATTAAAGATGTAATTATAGAGGATGTATGTATATGTATAAGTACTGGGAAGAAGGAGGCAAAATGATCCTTCCTTGCCAGTAATACCCAGAAAACCTAAGCCAATTGATTAAAAAAACAAAATAAAACAAAACTTGTTAGAATAAGAGAATTGTAGAAATTAATCACAAAGTTAATATAGGAAAAAAACCCAATAACTCTTATTTAAGCAGTAACCAGTTAGAAAGTATGAAGGAAGAAAGGATCCCACTTATACAACAAAACATATAGAAATAAACTTAACAAGGAGTGTATAGTACTCTAGAAGAAATTCTTTTTAAGTTCTGCTGAGGGACATAATGGAGACCTGAACAAAAGGAAAAGTCAGTAGTAAAACAATGCTGGGCATGATAGCACTTCTCTTTTTAAAATCTTTTAACCGGGGGCACCTGGGTGGCTCAGTCAGTTAAGCGTCTGCCTTTGGCTCAGGTCATGATCTCAGGGTCCTGGGATGGAGCCCCACACATCGGGGCTCCTTGCTCCAGGGAGTCTGCTTTTCCCTCTGCCCCTCCCCCACTCATGCCCTCTCTCAAATAAATAAAATCTTAAAAAAAAAAAAATCTTTTAGCTTTAGTGTGATCCAGATCAATTTTAACGAGTCTGTTAGGAACTTACTTTTATTTTATTTTTTTAAGATTTATTTATTTATTTAGAGAGCACAGGGGGGATGGGCAGAGGGAGAGAATCTCAAGCAGACTCCCCACTGAGCGCAGAGCCCAACATGGGGCTGGATCTTACAACCCTGAGATCCCAACCTGAGCTGAAACCAAGAGTTAAATGCTCAGCTGGCTGTGCCACCCAGGCACCCCTAAAATACTTATTTTAAAGCCTTTGTTAAGGTTAAATTGGCTATCTTATATTCAATTCCTATTGACTGTTTTTTCCCCTCATTATTGATCGCATTTTTGTTATATCAAAGAGTTTCTGCCTAAATATTGTCATTTTGAATAATATATGTAAACATTCTGGATGCTGTTATCTTCCCGTGAGGAGTATTGATTCTTGTTTGATCAGGCAGTTGTTATTAAGTGATCATTTTGAACTTTGTAAACTTAGATTTATGTTTTGTTAATGTGTATCTCTGGAAGGTCCAAGGTGTTTAATTTCCCTGAAGTGGTAGGACTTAGCCTCCAAACTGTTTCCCCTCTGGCTTTTAGGATGAGTCTACTGTAGGTCTTGTCCTAGGACATCATCCCTAGTCTCAAGGGGAAGCGTTTCCAACATCTTAGGTGAATGCCATGGATTTTAAGGAGGTGCTTATAAAAGGGATATCTAAGTTCTGGCCACACTGTAGCTTCTGTGTGCTTAGCACTGCTTCTTGCCTCCTAGCATTGCTTACCTCCTGGTGTCTGTTTTCTCAACTCTGTAGCAGCTGGTATTTGGTAAACCCTTAGATGGTCTTACTCTGTGCATGGATAGCCCATTCATTCTCTGGATACTCCCGTTTGGACTTCTTGAAGGCCCCGCCCTAACCAGTTTTCTACTGTCCAGTGCCCCATTCTGATTTCTTTTTTTTTTTGAAAGATTTTATTTATTTATTTGAGAGAGAGAGAATGAGAGATAGAGAGCACAAGAGGGAAGAGGGTCAGAGGGAGAAGCAGACTCCCTGCTGAGCAGGGAGCCCGATGTGGGACTCGATCCCGGCACTCCGGGATCATGACCTGAGCTGAAGGCAGTCGCTTAACCAACTGAGCCACCCAGGCGCCCACCCCATTCTGATTTCTGCCTGTCATGTTCTGCTTGGACTCCAGTTTTCTCTTCCAGGTCCGAAAATATACCTAGGTAGAGAGCGGGGTAGTGATAGGGCTCACTTTTTGAGTTTTCTATTTATTTTGAATTTTTCTATTTTTGAGTGCTGTTTTCTGTTGTCTGAAAGATGTCTCATGTTTTGTCCAGTTTAATAACTATTTAAATTATAGTAGAAGGGCTAGTCTGGAGGCCCAGTTATTCCAGCCTAACTGTAAGTCTTTTGTAAACTTGACAAATGATTTTAAAGTTCTTGAAAATATACCTGAAGATGAACAGAGATTCTGAAAAAGAATAAAGGGAATGGGGGGGGTAGGTTGGAGTAACTTTTACAGTTACTAAATGTGTTCCAAAGTTAGAGTAGGTAAAACATTATTGTACTGGTACAGATAGTCGGGAAAGGAGTGAAAAGCCTTTGGAATTTAGTATTGTGGTAGTGGTGGCTTCTCTATCAGTGATTAAAAGATAGCTTATTTAAGAAGGTTATTTTAGAATATGAACAGGCTAACCATTTGGAAAACAATGAAGCTGAATCATTCGTTCACTACTACATCATAACTGATTCCAGATGGACTCAAGATTAAACATGATATTGACATAAAAGTAATGGTACAGTACCAAAAAAATGAGCAAAATTCTAAATTTCTTATAGTCTTGGTAAAAGTCTTTGTAAACAAGGTACAGGTTATTTTTTGTACTGCAAAAGACACCATCAACAAAATGAATAGGTTCAACCAATGGTGAAAAATTAGTTGTAATATTTCAGATCATATCACAGTATCTTACTGATCAAAAATTAGATTTTACTAAGCTTAATAGTAAGAGGGACTGTATCAGTAAGCAGTTAATAGAAAAAGAAATATAAATGACCAATGAATATAGAGAAGAATGCTCAATATTCCTCTCATTTAAGTAAATGCAAATAAAATGATGCCATTTGACATAGTAGATTGACAGAAACCAGAAAAGGTTAATATCCAGTGTTAGGATGGTGGAAATGTCCACTGTCATTTGCTGTTTGTGGGAGTATAACTTGACAGGATCATAGTATGTCTCGTAAGCAAAAATGAGCACACGCTCTGATCCAGTCCAGACAGCAGTTCCACATATCAATGTTCATCCCATTGAATCTCATACCTTGGATACTTAGGCATCTTTAGGGGCCCAACTTGGGCTTACAGAATCAGATATTTTTGTGGATAGCTTAAAAGTGTTTAATAATTTGTCTTCATGTTTCTGTCATATTCTTAGAGAACCATGGATTAATTCAAAAGAATACTCTGAAAAGTATGCAGATATCAGTGCATATTTGTTTGATGGAGCATTGGGAAAATAATCACATAAATATAATCAGTGACTATGATAAAATACAATGTGGTCTTTAAAGGGAATGCTTTGTATATAGAGACAATTATATTGGTAAACAGAAAAACAAGTCCTAGAACTGGATGCATGGTGTGATTATATAATTAGGGAAAACATTTATGTATGCACATAAAATATCTGGGAGGATATACAGATTTAATAGTGGTTATGTCTGGAGGAACCAGACATCCTTTTTGTTTCATGACTTTCTTATATAGCTTCTTTGATTTTATTTTTTACGAGCAAGTTTTATAATACCAATGCAAGGAAAATAAAGGACCTTGCACTTTTAGAAGTTGTACATGAACCCTGAAACATGGTTTGATACTAGGTTAAGTAAGTTCATTGTGGTTAGGTGAAACCTTGTTTGGCTAAAGAATAGCATAAATTGGGCTTATCATGGGAGGCTTCAGTGACTTGCATTGAAGCTATATTTATTATATAGTATGTTTTTTTAAACACCATTTTGTTGTGATATTGTATTTTTCTAAGCTGTATTTTCATAATATTAATGCTTTTTTTTTTTTTTTTTTTAAGAACCCTCAACAACTAGTACTTCTTCAAATTACCCAGACGTATTAACAAGGCCTTCTCTTCATCGGAGCCATATGAATTTCTCCATGTTGGAATCTCCTGCATTACACTGTCAGCCCTCCACGTCCTCGGCATTCCCAATTGGCAGTTCTGGATTTTCCCTTGTAAAGGAAATTAAAGATTCTACCTCTCAGCATGATGATGATAACATCTCAACTACCAGTGGTTTTTCTTCAAGAGCTTCTGATAAAGGTATTCTTGGTATTTGGTAGTGAAGTTAAATTTCATGGGATAGGTTTTTTCTGACTTGTAATTTCCATTCTCTTGTAATTAGTGCCCTTACTATGCAGTGAATATTTTTGTTTCAGATGTAGCTGTTACAAAGAACACTTCATTGCCACCTCTGTGGTCCCCAGAGGCTGAACGTACTCCCTCACTCTCACAGCACACTGCCACCAGCTCAAAAAAACCAGCATTCAACTTATCTGCCTTTGGAACACTTTCCCCTGTGAGTACTAATACAATTTGATTTAATCACATTAGTTTTGAGTGTTTATTGCTCATAATTTATTGTTGTGTTTCTGTGCAGTCACTTGGGAATTCTTCAATCCTTAAAACAAGTCAGCTTGGAGATTCTCCTTTTTATCCTGGAAAAACAACGTATGGTGGGGCAGCAGCTGCTGTAAGACAGCCTAAACTACGAAACACACCATATCAGGTTGGTTTGAATAGGAGAAGGACTGGGAACCTAAAAATAATAATAATAATAATTGACAAGTAACTGATGGACCTCAAATGGAGTTGTGGCTCGGTTATTTTTTTGGTAAAGTAATAGAACTGTGGATTAGAAACATTCTTTTCATTTAGGGACTGTCTGAACATTATTTTAGACCTAAGTGAATATTTATTCATTACATTTTTGAGTGTGTTATATGCCTCTGTGCTTTAGGAATTAATTTAGGAGTTAATATTTCTTTTTTAAAAAAAATGAGGTGTAAATTATGTATAGTAAAATTTACCCTTATTAGAGTAATTGAATTTTAACAGAATACATACAGTTGTGTACCCACTCTGCAAAGTATTGAATAAACATTTCCATCACCCCAAGTGTTACCTTATGCCTCCCTGTAGTTGACCCCTCTTTCTGCTTTCCACCCTCTGGCAACCACCGATCTGTTTTCTTTCCCTGTAGTTTTGATGTTTCCAGAACGTCATTTAAATTTGATCAGTACAGTTTCTAGCCTTTTGAATATGGCTTGTTCTACTTAGTGTAATGCATCTGAGATTAATACATATTTTTGCCTTTATCAGTAGTTCCTTTTATTGCTGAGGTGTAATTTGTTTATTCATTCACTTGTGAAAGGACACTTGCGTTGTTTCTGATTTGGGGCAGTTGTGATTAAAGTGGTTATGAACATTTTGTGTGAACATAAATTTTCATTTCTCTCGGGTAAATACCTAGAAGTTGGCTGCTGGGTCTTATGGGGTAAGTATACATTAAACTTTATAATAAATTGCCACACTGATTTCCAGAATGGCTGGTACCACTTTGCATTCTCAACAGTGAATGTTCTGGGCAGCACTTGTCATCAGTTGTTTTTTGTTTTTTTTATTTTAGCCATTCTAATAGGCGTGTAGTGGTAACTCCACATTACTGTGGTTTTTATTTATGAAACTGAGCATCATTTTGTGTGCTTATCTGCCATAAATGTATCATTTTTAGTGAAACATCTGTTCAAATCTTTTGCCCATTTTTTGTTTTAAAGGTTTATTTATTGGAGCGCCTGGGTGGCTCAGTTGGTTAAGTGCCTTCTGCTCAGGTCATGATCTCAGGGTCCTGGGATCGAGCCCCGCATTGGGCTCCCTGCTCTGCGGGAAGCCTGCTTCTCCCTCTCCCATTCCCCTTGTTTGTGTTCCCTTTCTCACTGTGTCTCTCTCTGTCAAATAAATAAATAAAATCTCACAAAAAAAAAGATTTATTTATTTTTAGAGAGAGTGTGCACGCACGTGAAGGGGGGGAGGGGCAGAGGGAGAGACTCTCAAGCAGACTCTCAGCTGAGCCAGGAGCCCAGTGTGGGGCTTGATCTCATGACCCGGAGATCATGACCTGAGCCAACATCAAGAGTCAGACACCCAACCAGCTGAATTACCCAGGTTTCCTTTGCCCATTTTTTAATAGGGTTGTTTTTTTTACTAATGAGTTTTGAGAGAGTATGTTATTCCTTTATTAAGTCCTTTATTAGATATATGTTGTGCAAACCTCTTCTCCCATTCCCTGGCTTAAGTCTTTTGAAGAGAAGTTTTTTACTTTTGATGGCATTCAGTATGTTTTATTTTTCCTTATATGGTTCTTGCTTTTGGTGTAGTATGACATATTTGCCTAAGCTAGGGTCACAGACTTCTATGTTTTCTAGATGCTTTATAGTTTTAGGTTTTAATTTAGTCTTGTGATCTGTTGTGTTTTAATTTTTTTTTTTAAGATTTTATTTATTTATTTGACAGAGAGAGACACAGTGAGAGAAGGAACACAAGCAGAGGGAGTGGGAGAGGGAGAAGCAGGCTCCCTGCTGAGCAGGGAGCCCCATGCGGGGCTCAATCCCAGGACCCTGGGATCATGACCTGAGCCCAAGGCAGACGCTTAACGACTGAGCCACATCCAGGCGCCCCTGTTTTGTGTTAATTTTTATGTATCATGTCATGAGGTCGGGATCAAGATTTTTTTTTAATATAAGGGGTGTCCAATTTTTCTAGTACTGAGAAAGTTTATACATTCTACATTGCTTTGCCTTTGCATCTTTGTTTGAAAATCACTTGACCATATATGTGGCTTGACTTTTTATTATTCATTAATATGAATATGGCTTGACTATTATAAATGATACATTTATGGCAGATGGCATTATTATCTTGACTTTTTATTATTTTCTCTTTCTGTGTATCCTTTGGCGAACTCTAAACTCTCTTGATTACTATAGCTTCACAGTAATCTTGAAATCACGAATGTGAGTCCTCCAACTTGGTTCCTTTACAAGTTTGCTTTGGCTTTCCTAGATCTTTTGCTTTTTCATAATTTTAGAATCACATTACCAGTTTCTGCAATTTACTGGAATTTTGATTAGGATTGCATTGGGTCTAAAGATGAATTTTGGGGAGAATATACATCTTAATAAACTTGAATCTCCCAATCCTTGAACACAGCATGGCTCTCCATTTATTTGTCTTTTTGAAATTTCTTTTATCAGTGTTTTGTAGTATTCATCACACAGAGCTTGCACATATTTTGTTAGATTTATACCTAAGTATTTCATGTTATTTGATACTAGCTAAGATACAATAGCCCAAATAGTCTATTCAGTAAATTGAATATGTAGTTAAGATACCTTCCAGCAAAGAAAACATCAGGCTCAGATAACTTCATTGGTGAATTCTACCAAACAGAATACCAATTCTTCACAAACTTTTCCATATAATGGGAGGGTACTCTTCCCATTGTATTTATGAGGCCAACATTACCCTGATACTGAAACCAGACAGAGGCATTACAAGAAAGCCACAGACCAGTATTTCTAATGAATTACAGACCCAAACCTTCTCTGCAGATATTTGCAAATTGAATCTAGCATATATAAAAAGGATACTATTTCATGATCAAGTAGGGTTTATCCCAGGAATGCAAGGTTGGCTCAACATTTGAAAATTAATGTGATCTACCATGTAAACAAACTAAAGAGTAAAAAGCACATGAACATCTCCACAGATGCATAAAACACATTTGACAAGATTCAGTGTCCGTGCATGATAAAAATTTTCTGTAGCCCAAGGAATAAATGGGGATCTCCTCAGCCTGTTAAATGGTATCTATAGAAGATCTTCAGCTAGTGTCATACTAATGGTGAAAGATTGAATACTCTCCTCAGGTCAGGAAGAGAACAAGGATGTCTGCTCGCGCTGCTACTGTGTAATGCTATACTGCAGGTCCTAGCCAGCGAGAAAGAAATGAAAGGCATAGACATTGTGCTTATCTGTGTAGGAAAAAAAGCCTAAGAAATACAAAAAAAAAAAAAAAAGTTATCAGAACTTGTGAGTTTAGCAAGATCACAGGATACAAGGTCAATATACAAAATCAGTTGTATTTACATATGTATTAGCAAAGAACAAGTAGAAATTGATAACTTTAAAAAATAAATTTAAGGTGAATTCCACCATTCTATGTTTTACCTTAAAAGAGGTTTTTGAAACTCATAAAAATTGTTTTGTTGTGTATGTTATTGTGCTTACTTTTACAGATTTTGACAGTTTAAAGATGGAGAAGTAATTATACTTACAGTATGTGGGCTTTTGGAGAGGGGAGTCTGTGGGAAGACGATAGTCCGTAACAAACAGCAAGGACATAGAAACAAGTATATTTTAAGATTTTGTCTTGTTTTTAGTTTCTTTCCTAATTAGAGGATGATTTCATGTATATAGTTAACAGTAATTAGGAGTTTTATTTCTGAAAGTGTTCATGAAGGGCTATATTTTATTTCAGAAAGTGTTAACTGGATGTTGGAGTTACACAGGGAGCTTTTTCTAGAGCTTAAACTGGATCATATTACTCCTTTAAACATTTTTTTAAAGTTAAAATAATAGTTAAGCGTGTTAGTAGAAGATAAGATGATGCAAGCCTATGATTCATAGAATAGTCCAAGTCAGAGTATATTCTTGCTATTTCTTCCTTTCTTTCTTACATTGAATCTTATACTTTTTAATGCTAAGTCGTGACATACCCTTAAAATCCTTCTCAGCACAGGCTTCCAAATGTTTATCATTGACATTTGGGATGAATCTATTACTCCTTTCCTAGAGTGTTAGAGCTGGGAGATAAAATAAAGATTCTCTAGTTCAGTTCCATCTTACTGATTAGTGAACTGAGGCCCTGAGTGGCGAGTGGCCAGTGGCCAGTAGAATCCAGTGACAGAACAGACTATCATATTTTCCTAGAGGATTTTAATGTTGCCTCATGTTTGCCAAAGCTTTTGGCCTCAACAGCAATCCTTAATGGGCATCAAGTTCTTAATAAAACTAATGGAGAATATTGTAGCTACTCTGAAAATGTCATCAATGTTTGGTATCAGAGAAACATTATTTATAAAGTAGTTATTATGGTTCAATTTTTCAGATATTATGAGCTATTTGTAGAAACTGGGTTGTTTCGATTGTGATAATATCTTTATATCAAGCATTTGCCAAATTGTTTTGTGGTAGTCACTTGGTTATTGGATTGTTGTAATGCACTCTTGAGAAAAGAAAGTGTTTTAATTGGAATTTGTAAACATTGCTTGCATATTAAAGGGTGCTTAACTATTCTTTATAAGGTGTTATCCTTAACTCCAATTTTAAGAAAGTTAAAGGTCATGAAGAAATAGCCTGAGTGTTTAAAATTTTTCTTATGTCAATATTTGAGAAATGAGTTAGTTTAAAAATTTAAATTTCCGCTTTCTGCCTGTGGACGCCGCCGAGTAAACATTGTTAAAGTCTTCCCTCCCACTGCCTGCCGTCATGTCTAAAGTCAGAGTCTCCCAAAGAGCCTGAACAGCTGCGGAAGCTCTTCATTGGAGGTTTGAGCTTTGAAACAACCGATGAGAGTCTGAGGAGCCATTTTGAGCAATGGGGAACGCTTATGGACTGTGTGGTAATGAGAGATCCAAACACCAAGTGCTCCAGAGGCTTTGGGTTTGTCATGTATGCCACTGTGGAGGAGGTGGATGCAGCCGTGAATGCAAGGCCACACAAGGTGGATGGAAGAGTTGTGGAACCAAAGAGGGCTGTCTCAAGGAAGATTCTCAAAGACCTGATGCCCACTTAACTGTGAGAAAGATTTTTGTTGGTGGCATTAAAGAAGACACTGAAGAACATCATCTAAGAGATTATTTTGAAAAGTATGGGAAAATTGAAGTGATCGAGATCATGACTGACCAAGGCAGTGGCAAAAAGAGAGGTTTTGCTTTTGTAACATTTGATGACCATGACTCTCTAGACAAGATTGTCATTCAAAAATACCATACTGTGAATGGCCACAATTGTGAAGTAAGGAAAGCCCTATCTAAGCAAGAGATGGCTAGTGCTTCATCCAGCCAAAGAAGTCGAAGTGGTTCTGGAAACTTGGTGGTGGTCGTGGAGGTGGTTTTGATGGGAATGACAACTTTGGTCGTGGAGGGAACTTCAGTGGTTGAGGTGGCCTTGGTGGCAGTCAAGGTGGTGGTGGATATGGTGGCAGTGGGGATTGCTATAACGGATTTGGTAATGATGGAAGCAACTTTGGAGGTGGCGGAAGCTATAATGATTTTGGCATTTACAGCAGTCAGTCCTCAAATTTTGGGCCCATGAAAGGAGGAAATTTTGGAGGCAGAAGCTCTGGCCCCTATGGTGGTGGAGGCCAATACTTTGCCAAACCACGAAACCAAGGTGGCTGTGGTGATTCCAGCAGCAGCAGTAGCTATGGCAGTGGCAGAAGGTTTTAATTACTGCCAGGAAACAAAGCTTAGCAGGAGAGGAGAGTCAGAGGAGGGATGGGGAAGCTACAGGTTACAACAGATTTGTGAACTCAGCCAAGCACAGTGGTGGCAGGGCCTAGCTGCTACAAAGAAGACCTGTTTTAGGGGTACTTGGGTGGCTTAGTCATTAAGTGTCTGCCCTCGACTCAGGTCATGATCCCAGGGCTCTGGGATTGAGCCCCGCTCCACAGGAAGCCTGCTTCTCCCTCTCCCACTCCCTCTCCTTGTGTTCCCTCTCGCTATGTCTCTCTCTGTCAAATAAATAAAATCTTTAAAAAAAAATAAATATCAGGGATAAATGGCTCAAGGTAATGCTAAAACTTTATACCAGTGATCTCACTTTACCCATTTAACATAGCTGCAGATCTGTAGTGTGATGTGTGCTATCCTGTTTGTTTCTGATTGTAAAAGTAAAGGTATAAAGAAAAAAAGTTGAACTTAATGCTTAATGACACCACCTAGAGATAATTGCTATTACCACATTAATCCTATTTCTCTTTGGATATCCATTTTGTTTTCTAAATTTTTTCATTTCCTGAAATATGTGCTTTAGAGTTACCGTCCAAAAAAATCATACAGTGTTTTCTTTATAGGCACCAGTCAAAAGACAGATGAAAGCTAAGCAGCTCAGTGCACAATCCTATGGTGTGACCAGTTCAACAGCTCGGCGAATATTGCAGTCATTAGAGAAGATGTCAAGCCCTCTAGCGGTAAATTTTTAGAATCACAATTAGATGCATATGTGTGACAAAATTTGAGTTTCTTGAAAAATCTTAATTTTGTTACTGTTTCAATATTAACAGGATGCAAAAAGAATTCCATCTATTGTTTCTTCTCCCTTGAATTCTGTAAGTTGACTTTTAAACCTTTTTTTAGAGATATATTTTTATATATTGGTGATGAAAGTCATATATTTCAAAATTTCCAATCTATTCTAATAGTATTTTTACTTTTTTAGCCTCTGGATAGGAGTGGAATAGATACCACTGCAGACTTTCAGACCAAAAGGGAAAGGGTAAAACCTCTTTTGCATTTTATTACAGTTTCAGCAGTTTTGTTGTATTTATTTTTAAATTAGTAAATATACAAACTGAATTTGATAGTCATTAGGGAACATGTTTGAAAGATAAGATTGTTTTACTTGGACATTGTAGCTTCTTATGAGGGCCTGCCTTAGCACAGTGCTGTAAGTGCAGTAAATGCTCAGTCAATATTTTTTGGTTATTTGGCATTTCCATCTTCAGCATCTTGGTAGTCAGTGAGTAACTCTTACCTTCCGTTAAAAGTAGGAGTAAACAGTGCTTGAAGTGCTTTGTAATCGTAGAAGTTCAGTGAACTAAAACCCTCATTGAACATTGTAAACTTTCCTCATTTAACAAACATGTCAAATCCATTGTGTGTAATAGAATTTCAAATTGCTAGATCTTTCATTAGTCAGCCAAAACACTGTTCCAAGGTATGGGAACTAGTACAAAATATAAGTTATAGTATCTTGATAACACTTCTTAGTGTGTTCTATTTGGTTAAAATTAGCTCTGGAGGTTACTGTGGGAACAATAAAATGCTTGATAGAGTTAAAGAGGTCTATTTTTTGTTAGTTATACTTGTGGCTAGTTAAGTGTCCTTCAGGGAAGCAGATTCCCAGATCCTTACTTGTGAAAGCATTTATTGCAACACCAGTTTCCCCCAGACGTAACTGAAATGATCATAATTTTCTGACGTGGGAAATGTATGTGAGATATTGGTAAATTATAATTATTTTTACTGAAATTTTGCAGAAGGCTAATATTGAGGGGTTTTGGGCAGATAGTGTTGCTTTACAATTTTTAAAATTACCTAGATGTTTGTAATCAGGCAAGAGGGAATCTGTTATTAGCCACTGTGATGGGATTAATTTATGGCATTAGTTGCTTTTCTCAAACTCCTGTTTTATATTAGATTGTTTAAAAAGAAGTAAATGTACAAAAAAAAGAGAAGTAAATGTAAAAAGCTGTGCCATAATACAAGTTCTCATTGATTAAAGTTTTATTAAAGGTTGAGTATAGTATCAATAGAATTTTATTAACGGGTGTTAGGCTATATAAAGGCCAGAATACAATATTGTGGTTCATGTTTCACAGATGTTATCAGAACAGTCTACAAAATAGACTCTCATTGAGTTGTAAGATCACAGTTGTGATGAGGGGTTAGGGAAGAGCTAGTATACAGAGGCTCTGCCTTGGAAACCAGTGTTGTTCATAGCTGCTGCAGAGTGAAAGGACTGTATTCACAGTGTTACCGTCTTTGGACAGAGTAGAAGTTCTTGGCTTTATAGTCCTCTTACACCAACAGGACTTTCACTGTGTTTCCTTGTTGCAAAAGACTGTTGACAAAACACTTGTGTGCTTAGATAATAATGCCAGTTTATTTTAGGATTTGGAATTCTTTTTTTTCTTTAAATTTTTTATTGTTATGTTAATCACCATACATTACATCATTAGTTTTTGATGTAGTTTTCCATGATTCATTGTTTGTGCATAACACCCAGTGCTCCATGCAGAACGTGCCCTCTTTAATACCCATCACCAGGCTAATCCATCCCCCTACCCCCCTCCCCTCTAGAACCCTCAGTTTGTTTTTCAGAGTCCATCATCTCTCATGGTTTGTCTCCCCCTCCGATTTACCCCCCCTAGAATTTGGAATTCTTAACAGAGTTTTACTCTGTTAATTAACAGACTTTTGCCTTAGTTTTTAAATAACAATAGAGGAAAATTAACTTGGAGAGAAGTTTGCTCATTTTTTCCAATTATTTTCATAGCTAGTTTAAAAATAATATTATTTCCAGTTGAAGGATATCTAAAAAGTAATTTGGGGAAAATGTGGCAAAATCAGTTTTAGTTTCTGTATTCAAAATTCAACCTGTAAAAGCTTAGATTTGTAGAACAGTTTTGAATATAGTTGCCATTTTGTACATGTGTACATATATGTGAAAAGTCATTCAGTCTAGAATAAAATAGTCTATGAAACCATTTGGAATTTTATATATAGGTTTATAAATATATGTACCTTTGGTTCTATTACTATCAGTTTTTCCTTTTAGTATTTGAGCTCTCTGCGTATTTCTCTAAGAAGTATTCATGGTCTCTAGGTGACATTAGCTATTGCCAAATAATTTTTAGATATGTGTCACTGATACATATATGAAACTAAAGGTTTGTTTTTGACTTCTGATTACCTGTAAGGTGGACTCTCAGTACCCCCCTGTTCAGAGACTCATGACCCCAAAGCCAGTTTCCATAGCAGCAAATCGAACTGTTTATTTTAAACCATCTCTGACCCCGTCTGGTGAATTAAGGAAGACCAATCAAAGAATAGATAAAAAGCACAGTGTGAGTATGTTTATTTTCACTCGTCTTTGAATATTAATTAAAATGAGTAAGAATAAATAAGATACAAGTACTCTACTATTCCAGTCTAACAACTAGATAATGCATAAAGTTTGTGTTAGTGATTACAAATTGGTATGCCTTTCAAATGGCTAGTACCTTGATCAAATCCTAAATTAGTATTTACTAGTAACACTAGTATGTGCTCATGGTTTAGATTAAATAATTTTGCCAGAATTGCTTTATCTGTGTGTTTTGTTTGTATTATTGTTGAACTGTTTGAAAACAAGATGTCACATATCTGTTCATCCCTAAGTACTTGGTGCAGTTCCTAAGTACTTTCTTCTATGTTATCATATCTGAAGAAATTAATGTTTGTTTCTTCCTAATATTGTATAATATCTAGACCACACTCCAGTGTTGTTTATAGTTGCTTTTTTGAATCAGAATCCAAGCAAATTTCACACATTGCTTTGGTTTTGTCTTTCTAGATCGCAAGCCTTGACCCTCACCACATTGTTGTTGTTTTAAAGTAACTGCTTTATTGAGATATAATTCACATACTGTACCATTCACCTATTTGAAGAGTACAGTGGTGCAGTGGTTTTTAGTATATTCAGAGTTGTTCAGTCATCACCATAGTCAGTTTTAGAACATTGTCCTCACCATTCTCCCCACCCTCCCAAAATCTAATACCTGTGAGTAGTCACTCCTCAGCCCTTCCTCTCCAGCCCTAAGCAACCACTGATCTGTCTCTCTGGATGTGCTTATTCTGGACATTTCATATAAATGGAGTTTTAAAATCTGTGGTCCTTTGTGACTGACTTATTTCACTTAGCATAATGTTTCCAAGGTTCATCCATGTCATAGTGTTCATCAGAATTTTATTCCTTTTTATGTGGCTGAATAATATTTCATTGTTTGGATATACTAGATTTTGTTTATCCTTTCATCAGTTGAGGGACATTTGGGTTATTTTTACTTTTTGACTGTAATAATACTGCTGTGAATGTTTGTGTACAGGTATTTTGTAATCATATGTTGTCATTTTTCTGGGGTTTGTACCTAAGAGCAGAATTGCTAGGCAAAATTGGTTTTTGAAGAGACCAGGATAGTTGTCTTAAAATGTCCCATGTTTGGGTTTGTTTGTTTTCTTGTGCTATTTAGCTAAGGTGTATTTTATTGTATTTATTGTATTTACATAGTATCTTACTATTTATGCTTTTACTTATATTTAATCTCGTTTGATCTTCATAACCTAATTTATTAAAAACTTTCAAACTAAAGTTGAGGGAATAGTACAGTATTTACCCATTATTCCGTGATTCACCAGTCATTAACACTTTGTCATATTTGCTTTATTAAAATTTAAAAAATACTTTGAATGTAACTTTGGACTTACAGACTTTGTAAGCGCAATTATAAGACTTCACAGTTTACTATATTCGTTCTAACTTTACGTGTATTTCTTAGAGATAGGGAATTCCCGTCATGTGTAATAAATGCAGAATAATTATCAAAACCAGATACTTAATATTGTACAATACTATTATCTAATGTACAGATTTTGTTTAGATGTTGCCAGTTGTCCCAGAAGAAAAAAATTCAAGATTATGTATGCATTTAGTTTTCTTTCTTTCTTTGTTTTTTTTTTTAAGATTTTATTTATTTGAGAGAGAGGGAGAGAGAGTGCAAGCGAGCATGAGCAGGGCAGAGGGAGAGGGACAAGCAGACTCCCGGATGAGCAGGGAGCCCGACGTGGGGTTTGATCCCAGGACCCTGGGATCATGACCTGAGAGAGAGGCAGACACTTAACCTACTGAACCACCCACGCGCCCCTGCATTTAGTTTTCATGTCTCTTCATCTCCCTTAGTCTAGAACAGTTCCTTAGGGTTTTTTGTTTGTTTTTGTATTTCATAACATTGATATTTCTAAAGTAGAAGTAAGTTACTGTGTAGAATGTCCTGCAATTTGGAAATGTCTAATGTTTCCTCATAATTAGATTCCAGTTAGGTCCTTTTTATTTTATTTTTTATTTTAGAGTGTGTGCAAGCACGAGGAGGGGTGGAGGAAGAGGAGAGAATCTCAAGCAGACTGTGCACTGAGTGCGGAGCCTGACACGGGGCTTGATCTCAACGACCCTGAGATCATGACCTGAGCTCAAACGAAGAGTTGGGTGCTTAACCGACTGAGCCCCCCAGGGGCCCCCCAGTTACTTACTTTGGTAATAATATCAAAGACTAGATGCTGAGCTCTTCTCAGTCTGTTATGTCAAGAAGCACATGCTACCAATTCATCTCATTATTAGCAGTGTGATTATTAAGGTGGTAGTAGGATTTCTCCAGTGTAAAGTTACTATTTTTTTAATCTTTTGTAATTAATAAGTATCTTGTGGGTAGATGACTTTGAGAGGATAAATATCCCTTTAGTAGTTAGCATTATTGGTGATTTTTGCCTAAATCTATATCGTTTATAGATTGCCAAAGGGTGGTTTTCTAACTCCACCGTTGTTTCTACATTTATTAGTTGACATGCTCCTAGAGGAGAAGTTTTTTTTCTTTTATGTACCTATCTATGTAAGTGTTTTATAAGTCAACTTTATTTCTCACATTCTATAGATTATAATTCTTTATTGGCATTATTTATTTTGATGTTCATGTTGTCGCATTTGGCCTTTGAATGTCTCCGGTGACCTTCTTGATTTTCCCTTCAGTTTTTGAACACTTAGTTGCTTTTTGTTATAAAAGAATCAAGGCCCGGGGAGTGTGTGTGTGGTTCAGTCGGTTAAGCATCCAACTCTTGGTCTTGGCTCAAGTCAGGATCTCAGGGTCGTGGGATTGAGCTGTTAGCAGGGCTCTGCAATCCGAGGGCAGTCTGCTTGAGGTTCTTTCCCTCTTCCCCTCCCCTGCTCTCTCTCTCAAATAAATAAAAAATACTAAAAAAAAAAAAAAAAAATACAGGCTCATTCTGTAAGTTTCTGGTCCCTGCCCTGTATTTTGCTATTTTCATGATACCCTTTTAATGGAGGAACTTAAATTGCAGAGAATCATTTCAGAGAGAATATCCTTATAAATTTGCTTACACCTTTAATAGGCCATAATGAGAGATGAGTAAAAGTATTTTTGTGGTTTGTAAGTATATTAATTTTGTATACTTACTACCTTTTGGTTGAAAGGGCAGTGTGCTCAGTGACCTTTTATGTCTATAATCATGCTGTAATTCAGTTACCATTCAGAAAGCAGGATATAAGTCGCAAGTTTTAGGATTCACTAACTAAAAACCCATCAAATTCCTGATTTCAAATATTAAAATGGATGGACAGAAGGGAGGTATTAATTAAAACGAAGAAGGAGGCATGTAAATTTGGTGTGCTCATTTTGCTCTAGATTGGATATGAAAAACCTGTGACACCAGGACAAACTAGAGAACAACGAGAAAGGTAATGTCGTCTTTATAGCTAAAGCTTCTTTATATTTCATTTGTAAAGTCTGTTTGATTTATATATGTTTTTTTGAAGATTAAGAAGGTTGAAAAACAAACTTTATGCACACAAATCTATCCGCTTTTAAAAATCACATTCAGCTGTGTGTTTCTTTTCTTGTTAGCAGTTCTAATTTTTAGGTGTTCGGTTGGTTAACCAGTTATGGACCAGAGTAATATATCATTTGTTTTAATTTTCTTTTTCTTTGCCTAGTGGCTTTTCTTACCCAAATTTCAGTATGTCTGCAGCCAATGGTTTATCTTCTGGAGTAGGTAGTGGAGGCGGCAAGATGAGACGAGAGAGAACGCGCTTTGTTGCATCCAAGCCTCCAGAGGAGGAGGTAGGGTTCTATCCTTCATATTCTTGAAGTTTGTTGAAAGCTTTGGTGTGGTGATGGTGAGGGGAGACCCGAGGGCTGGGGCTTGGGGGAGACCCAGCACAAGAATCACTAGCCTGCCGTTGGAGCAGTCCCTTCCCGGTGTGAGTGCGTGTGCATGTATGTGTGTTTGATACCCCCTTCGCTGTGACAACACAGAAAACCTAACCTAGGACCTTAAATTCCATAGGTGCCACGAAAAAGCTGTAATTCTTCAAATAAGAGAATTACAATTGAAATGATTTGACCTTTGGAATATTATAGTATTTGCCTGTTCAGTGGATTAACACTGGGTGTGCTCTTCTCACTTGCCATTTTCTTCATATTATTTGTGAAATTTATCAGTGTTGTGAAAGATGATTCAAGTTGTATAACTTCACTGTTACAGATTTGTCCAGTCTGAAAATTTACCACCCCGTTCCACAGGGTGCATGTGGGTTGATTCCTAATATGTGCCGAGGTGAATGTCGATGCACTTCTGCTTCGGCACAGGCAGCATGTTCTCTAGGCTTTTTCTCTAGGATGGCATTGTTGGGTTCTAGGGGATGAAACAAATGTGTTAGATGTTGTCCTTTTGCTCCTGAAGGTAGTGTAAATACTTCCCTCCACATGACAGTGGGTGGATATGCTTTTTCTTTTTCCTTATGGGTACTTGATTTTTTTTTTTTTTTTAAGTTTTTGCCAAGGTGATGGGTGTGAAGTGTTATGCCATTGAAGTTTTATTTTGCATTTCCTGTTTACAAGGGAGGGAGCCCTCTTGTGAGTTTCTTGGTCATTTGGGGTTTCTCTTCCTTTATCCATTTTTTTATTGGATTATTTCTTTCATTTGGAAGATTTCTTTTTTTTGGAAGATTTCTGCATATATTCTGAAAATGAAAGTTTGAAAAAGATAAGGACTAATTTGAAGATTGGTTAAATTAACCTTTCTTTCTATAGGCTGCTCTATTTTCTAACTACTTTGAGTTTAATGCAGGCCTTCTTTCAGTCTTTTTACGAGTGAATTTCAGCCTAACTGGATCATTTAAGTTTTGATACATAATGCTTTCATTTGTTGTTTGTTTCTAATTAAAATTTCATTTGTTTTTTTTAGGAATTTTTAGATTTTTAAATAGGAGATCTTCTATAAATTTCTGTTGACTCTAAGTCATGTTTTGGTTGAAATTATTGTCCGAGTTTGTCTTGCTTTCCTTCTTGTCTGTTGGTATGCTTTCCAAGTTTATTTAGAGTAGGCAGTCTTTTGTTTTCATTTCCTTCATCTCTCCCTTTCTTGTTGAGCAGTTTTGGAGTTGTGCCTCTCTGAAGGCACCAGAACCGCGACTGCTTTAGCAGCTTGGACTTTCTGTCCCCTTTGCCTGTCTCGTGGTAGATGACATTGTGCTGGGGGCTCGGCTCCGGTACTGGTCTAGAGGTTCTACTTGTTGCTCTCCTGCTGGAGTGTTGTGAAGGAAAGAAATGTGTTAATGTATTCTCCTGTCTTGAAAGAAAAAGTCTTGAATGCCATTAATGATACAGTAGAGGAAATTTTGATAGCTTTCTTAGCAAACCGATTTTCTTTTATTGAAACTCTTTATGTAGACTTGATTAAATTACCTTTAAGAAATGGGTTATTTGTCTTGCTTTGTATACATAAGGAAATTAGTACCTGAGTAATATAGTTCATTATATAGCCTGTTCTTTAGATGAGCTTTTATATTTCTCAGTAAAATTTGTGTCTCTAGCTTTTTAAAGTTTATCCCTATGTGAGGAAAACATCTTGGTTTGGTGTTTGCCAGATAACAGATTTGTGAATTTTGCTTATTTCCCTTCAGTTTCAACTTTTAAGAATATATTCCTAAGATCTTTAGCTCAAGTTCAGGTTGCTATCTGTAGCTCAGTTTTGGCTGTCGTACAGATACGTGTTTATGTGACTTTGCTATATCAAGACATTGGGAGGGGGCTGAAAATTTATTGATTTACTTTTGCTCTTACTACTTGGCATACTGTGAGGAGCTTTATGAAAGTCTAACTTTCCAGACCTCTTTATCACTTCCTCCCTTCTCTGGACCCCCTCTCCATTCTGGCCAACTGCCAACTGCCAACTTTGCATCCCAGGATGCCTCACCCAACTCCTGTCCCTAGTTCTGTTCCACACTGGAGTTAGAGTCTCCACGTTTCTGAGGAAAGAGGTACCAATGGGTGGCTGCCCCAAATTTCTGCCTATCCTGTGTTTTTTTAATCTTGGTAGAAGAGGTTTTGGGTAGATGCTTTTTCTTATTTATTTTGTATTAAGTGCTGTTTTTGTTTCTGATAACAAATATGTTTAGACCACTGGTTGTTCTTAATTCAGTTATAGTTAATGGGAACTTTTGATAACGGCTGGAATATTCATTTTTGTGGGTATTTTAATGGGCTTTTGGGATAGGTCAAATGGAAGAAATTTTATTTTTAACGGAGTGTAAATGCATTATGCTAATTTCAGGTACTCTTGTTATGTAGCAGAGATTATATTTTCGTATTAGGGTATATTTTGGTGTATATTTGGTATATACTGTGGTATATTTTGAGTCACTTAAACATTCAGGTTAACAACTTTATATTGTAAATAACCCATTTTGCATTATGAGATAGAAGAATGGTTTAGCTCTCATTTCTTGTCAGATCTCAGAATTTGTAAGGATTGTGTGTTAGTCGCTAAACATTTGGCATTTTGCCTCTGCTATGATACCAGTTTGGTTTTTATAATGAAAAAGCTTATGATACAGAACAGATGAGTATATAATATGACTGAGTTGGGGAGATTTAATTGCTTGATATTGTCATGTCAGGTACAGGCCTGCTACTTACTAGCTGTGAGTGATGTTAGTCAAATTAATTCCTTCGTACCTCAGCTTATCTGTAAAATTGTGATAAGAAGAATAGATTGAGCTTGTGTCTTTGGGATGCCTGCCATTTAATGGCTGTATGATCTTAGACCATTTATCTCCCTGCCTTAGCTTCCTCACCTATAACAGTAGTATCTTCCTCATGTTAGATAACCCATGTAGAGATATTACAAAGGTAATATATAGTAAGTCACATATTTGGTGATTGTTGTGTTCAACTTGAAGGTACCTGGAAACATCCAATTATAATTTTTAACTTTCTCATAGATTTGTGGGACCCACTTCTGATCAACTAAGTCAAAATTTTGGTGAATAGGTTTCACATTTAGAATTGGCTCAAGGTCAGTTGATATAAAGAACCAGTATGGCCAAGTCTGTGGCATAATGAGTTGGCATAAGGAAGATACAGGTTATTCAGTTGATGTGCCCAGGTGTTGTAAGGGTCTAAAGGGAAGAAAGTAAGACTGAGGATTGGCGATCAGATGAAACTTCCCTATGGAAAGAGCCCCAGTTTTTGTTCGCTTCCTCTCCCCTCCCCCAAATTAGGATAAGTTTCAAACCTGTATTGAAATACTGAAGGAATTGTGCAGTGAACACAGATATACCTAACACTTAGATTCTAATATTTTGTTATATTTGCTTTATCAAGTGTATATCCTACTTTTTGGGTGCATTTCCCAAAGTAAGTTGAAGACATTTGTATACTCTATATACTTCACCCCCAAATATTTCAGCATACATAGCACAAACTAAAGTCAGATATTTGTTGTTTTACATGTAAAATGTAAAATTCTTAGGTGTACCATTTAATGAATTTTACAAATGCTTACACCTGTGTAACCCAGACCCCCTTCAAAGTGTCAGACATTTCTGTTGCTCTAGAAAGTTCACTCATGCTCCTTCCCAGTCAGTACTCATCACCTCCTAGTTCAGAGGCATTCACTATTCTCATTTTTCTGTCCTGTATTGGTGTAACTTGTTCTGGAACTTCTTATCAGTACAGTTGTCCAGTATGTGTCTTCTTTTGTGCCTGGCTGTTACGAATAAAGCTGCTATGAACATTATTGTAGCGCTTTGTAGACACGTGTTTATTTCTCTTGGGGTAAATAGCCTGAAAGTGGAGGAGCTAGGTTGTATGATATGTGTTTAACTTTTTTTTTTAAAGATAGATTGATTGATTGATTGATTGATTTAAGTAATCTCTGCACTCAGCATGGAGCTTGAACTCTTATCATAACCCCAAGATCAAGAGTTGCATGCTTTTTCGACTGAGCCAGCCAGGCCCCCCCATATGTGTTTAACTTGAAAGGAAACTGCCAAACTATTTTCCAAAATGAATGTAGTATTTTACACTCATCAACAGTATATGAGCATTTCTTTCACTCTTCATCCTTATTAATAGTTGTCATCTTTTTAATTTTATCCATTCTGCTTTGTATATGGTGCTATTTCATTATAATTTTAATTTGCATTTCCCTGATAACAGGAATGTTGTGTTCTTGATTATATGCTTATGGGCTGTGTGCTTATTACCTCCTTTTTGAGGTATCCTTCCAAGTCTTTCACCCTTTTAAAAATTGGGTTTTCAAAAATAAATTAAATAAATAAATAAAAATTGGGTTTTCTTACTGAGTTGTAGGAGTTCTTTATAAATTTTGGATCCAAGTACTTTGTCAGTTACATGTCTTATAAGTATTTTCTCTCAGTCTGGCTTGCATATTCATTTTTTAAACAGTATCTTTTGATCAGCAGATATCCTAGATGAAGTCTGAATTTACCTTTTTTTTTTTTTTAAAGATTTTATTTATTTATTTAACAGCGAGATGGAGCCAGAGAGCACAAGCATAGGGAATGGCAGAGGGAGAGGGAGAAGCAGGCTCCCCACTGAGCAGGGAGCCAGATACAGGGCTCAATCCCAGGACCCCGGGATCATGAACTGAGCCAGAGGCAGATGCTTCACCATCTGAGCCACCCAGGCACCCCTGAATTTATCTTTTTTAAAAAATTATTTTATTTTTTAAAGATTTTATTTTTAAGTAATCTCTACCTCCAATGTGGGGCTTGAATTTACAACCCCGAGATCAAGAGCCCATGCTCTTCCCACTGAGCAAACCAGGTGCCCCATTTGTTTTCAGTTATTTTTACTGTTCTTTCTGTCCTAAGAAACCTTTGTCTATCCCCAGGCCGCGAAGTAATTCTACGTTTTCTTCTAGAAGATTTATAGTAGTGTTTCATGTATCTTTCTGATTTCTTATATGATCTGTGGATTATTTAGAACTGTGTTTAGTTGTGATATTAATGTTTTGAAATGTATTGAGACTTGTTTTGTAGCCCAGCATATGGTCTGCCTGATGAATCTTAAAGCCTGTATTTTACGGTTTTCAGGTATAGTGTAATATAAGGTGTCAGATGACTGATAGTATTTCTTAGATCTTTTGTCTTTGCTGACTGTTTTTTCAGGGTGTGGGGTGTGTCTGTTTAGTCTATTAAGTTGTTGAGAGGTAGGAGTTAAAATTGTCCACTTTCGTTTGGTGAACTTGTCTTTTCCCTTTATGTCAGTTTTTGCTTTACATATTTTAAAGCCCTCATTAAAGCGTATGCCTTTCACATCATGGTTCCTCAGTTGCCTCTTTTAAATTACTAAATGTTCTTCTTTTAAAAAAGTCTCTGGAAGTATTCTTTGTCTTGAAAATCTGTATCTGGTATTACTGTAGCCCGCCACTCTGTTAGTAGAATAAACTTTCTTAGGCTTACGAATTGCAGGTTGTATCTTTTCCCATCCATTGGCTTTTAACCTGTATCTTTTTAAGTGAGTTTCTTGTAGACTATATATGGATGAGTCTTGCCTTCTATTTTTTGCCCTTTTTTTTTTTTTAAAGATTTTATTTATTTATTTGACAGAGATACAGCGAGAGCAGGAACACAAGCAGGGGGAGTGGGAGAAGGAGAAGCAGGTTTCCCACCGAGCAGGGAGCCCGATGTGGGGCTCGATCCCAGGACTCTGGGATCATGACCTGAGCCGAAGGCAGACGCTTAACGACTGAGCCACCCAGGCGCCCTATTTTTTTGCTTTTTAATTGGAATATTTATAATTAATGTAATTATTTATATAGTTGGATTAGGTCTCCATTTTCCTCTTGTTTTCTGGTTTTCCCATTTGTTTTTTGTTTCTTTTGTTCCTTTTGAAAGTTGTCTTTTTGTTAATTAAATATTTGTTAGAACTACGTTTTAATTACTTGGTCTTTATCTCTACCTCTTCATGTTACTTAGTGGTTCCTCTTGGGATTATGATATGTGTCCTTAAGTTTCACATTCTACTTTGTGTTCATATTGTACCACTACCTGTAAAATTGAAGACTCTTGCAACTTTATAGTTTGATTTACCTTGGTATTTTAGATTATACTTGTCATTTCTATTAAAATTAGATAGGCTATAAACCCACAGCATATAATTTTTGCTTTTTACAGTTGTATTTTTTAAGAAATTAAGAGGAATGAAAGTGTTTTGTGTTTGCTCATATATTGCTCATTTCTTCCAGAAACTTGAGTTCCATTTGGTATCATATCCCTTCACCCTGAAGGACTTGTAGAGCAGGTTTTATGGCAACAGATAGTCTTAGTTTTCTTTTATCTGAAAGCATCTTTATTTTTCCTTTGGGGAGAGGGCTTGACTTTCCAGAGGTGTGATTGATGTACCATGAACGACATCCATTTGAAATACTCAGATAGTTTTAGCTGGCGGGGAACTTACCTGAAGTGCCACTCTCTCCCACTTGTGGTGGGCGGAATCTGGAGCTCTTCAGTCTAAGTTGGCTGCTTGTTGTCTGCCTTACACAGGAGCAGTTTACACGTCTGCTAGAAATTTGGACAGTTTACATGCAGAGTTATGCTCCTCATTCCTGCATTTCCCCCTCATTTTCTAGCTGCTGTGGTCACTTAGTCCGTCCTCTGATTCCTCCGTGAACAGATTTGCCATTTTCTCTCAGAATTTCAACTAGCAGGGGCACCAACTCACAGAGTACAGGAAACTCAGTGCCCCTCTCTTCTTCTAAGCGTTTTTTATCTCTACAGTTCCTGCTTACTTCTGGTTGCTCTCCAGTGTTTTCAGATGGTTGTTTCTTTCTCTTCTGTTCAGAGTTTATAATTGTTATCTGTCAGGTCATTGGTCAGGTAACAAACTGTTCCATTAGCAGAAGTGGAACTCTCTTTGTTTGCCCTTAACCTGAGTTGAGACTTGGGGTGGTCTTTGCTATATTGGAATAAAAAAACCAAGGCATTTCACCAAACTCACCAGTACTGATGTTTATTAAATGCTTGTTCTATATGCCGAGCCCATATATAACTTTATGTTTTATATTAATACTACAACTATGGTGTGCTTTTTTTTTTCTCATTTTCAGCCGTTAAGAAACTGGTACTGAGGGCAGTTAGGTTCACAAAGCCACCGTGTCTGGTGAGAAAGCTGGGTTTCAGATCTTTTCAATTCTTTTGATTCAAGAGCCCACACTGTTAACACAGTATGGTGTTACCTTTGCCCTATCCTTAGTTTACCTGTAACTGTAGCAGTTCTTCCTGAAAATCAGTAGGGATAGAACAGTGACATGAAAGATGAAATCTATCATTATGAAACATGTTGTGTTTTAGGAAATGGAAGTACCAGTATTGCCGAAAATCTCTCTACCCATCACCAGTTCTTCACTGCCTACCTTCAATTTTAGTTCCTCTGTGATCACAACGTCCTCTCCATCACCCATTAGTCCTTCGCAATCATTAACAAACAAGGTACAGAATCATTGTACAAATAGAGGTGATTTTTGTTCTTTATTTTAAGAAATCTAATACTCTGTTGAAAGCAGTGATAAGTTCCCACTATGGAAATTAATAACTCAGAATAAGAAGAGAAAAAATTGAAACGGTGTTTTGCTTTTTTAAATGTACATTATAAAGAGATACATTATAATGGAGTGCTCTTTAATTCTGATTCCGTGCCTTAGAGACTAATGATTTTAAGTTTGTTTCCAAACATTGTTTCTGATTAAGATGCTTTTTTTTTTTTTTTGGTGAGAATGGGGTTATTGTTTTTATTTCTCGGGTAGGATTAACTGCTCCTGTTCTATGCTTTCACCCTGGCTTTTACTTTTTCTGACTGTATTCTTATAGATGGTATTTTTCTCCTTTAGACAGATACTCACCTCTGAGATAGAGTACACTCCTCTCCCAATGAGAAGCCAGATTTTATGGCAGTTTACAGTTTATTTTTCAGAAGTTTACCATTTAGCAATTAATCTTTATTTTTATTCATTTTTTAAAGATTTTTATTTTTAAGTAATCTCTACGCCCAACGTGGGCCTGGAACTTAGAACCCCAAGATCAAGAGTCATTATGCTCAACTGACTGAGCCAGCCAGGCACCCCTTAACAAGTGATTTTTAAATCTAAAAGGAAATTATGTTTGGCTTCTTTGAAATGATTAATTTGCTTAAATTAAGGTCTATTTTATTGTCAACTTCTTTCTCTAAAAAGTTTTTTATATTTTAATAATTTGGAAAACCAGGTACAAATGACCTCTCCAAACAGCACTGGCAGCCCCATGTTTCGATTTTCATCTCCAATTGTAAAATCTACTGAGGCAGATGTACTACCTCCATCATCTGTAAGTAGCAAGCAAAGAATGTTTCAGATTTATTTTTTATCAAAACCAAGATGCCATTGGTAGTAAGAAATAGCATTGTTTTTCTTTCAACTTAAAAAAATTTCAGTGTACAGAAAACTTGAATGAGTGAACAACACCTGTTTATTTTCCAGTACCTATATATACATATAAGCATATATATTTCCTCATGACCATTTGAAAGTTAAGACACAAACCTCTTTGATACCCTTACATCCATATGTTCCCTAAGAAAAAGGACATTCCTCTGCATACCTGCAGTATAGTTATATCCATGAAATTTAACATGATATAATAATAATGTAGGCCATATTCAGATTTCCCCATTGCCCTAGACTGTCCTTTAATACTATTTTGTTTCTCTTGGGCCTACATCCAGTTAAGATCAAGACCTAATCAAGTAAATGGCGTTGCATTTGGTTAGCATGTTTCTTGAATTGCCTTTAATCTGGAGAAGTTTTGGTTTTTATGCCTCAGAGTATGTATTTGTTTCTTTATAGTTAAATATTTTGGGGAGAATAAGGTTAATGTTTAGGTTATCCCATGCATCTTTGGCATGTATATCAGTTTTACACATTGCCTTCTCTTTTTTACTGTGCTCTTGTTTTCTGTCACAGATGGATATTCCAGATCATTTTGTAGTTTCCCTCCCGCATGCCTGAAACCTGCCCATTGTCCATAAAGTCTCATACTTTTTATTAGAAAATGGTATTAGAAATCCAGAAATGAGCTTTAGGAGCACGTAATTTTATGTACTGATTTGAATGAAAAGATGCCTAAGAAATGTAAAATGCTGTTTGATAGGACATACCATTCATTCTAAGAAGCATCATTTTTAGAGATTATAAAATATGAAAACCTGGAATACATGAAATTCAGTGTATTTTTTTTAACTTGGAATAGGAAAAAGCTATTTGATATTCATTTAAAACTAAATAGACTCTTAAAGGATACATTTTTTTTCTTTACAGATTGGATTTACATTCAGTGTGCCTGTTGCAAAAACAGAACTTTCTGGCTGTAGTAGTATTTCAGAACCAATTACAAGTAGTAGTTCAGGTAAGTGAAAATTTCTCACAAGTTTTTACATAAAAATAGTTGCATTACATTAGATTAGTATTTCACATTCTTTAATCTTTAGCAATTCTTGTAAATGCTCTTATTTGAATGAAATTAGCTCTAAAAAGCAAATAGGAGGTAATATAAATCCTTGACAGTATTTTTAGTCTCTATTCTCAGAAATACTTAGCTCACTAAATGGAAATGTTACAATTTCATTATGACAGGGATAGTCATGGCCGCACATATATCCGTCATCTTTGTTTAATTAAAATAAAGTGAGCTTATTATAAATGAAATCTCATAAGAAATTGAAGGGTTGTCTACATTGTTATTGAGGTGAAGTTATAATTGCTGTGGACTCCATCTCTAGGTTTAGTGTTCAGTTCACAAACATTTTTATGTGTAAGGGTTATGCTGGCCTCTGCCGATAGTGATACATAATTTCTGAACTCAAGGAATGGGTGTAATTGAGGGAAAGAAATGAGTCATCAGATAATGAAATCCTAGCATTTTGTTCTGATAGTGGTGGTTTTCTTTCAAGTGTTTGCTGTTTAGGAAGTGGAGAATCATCTGGGCTAAGTTACTCAGGTCAAAATTTTTGAGCAAGGGCATTTTACTCAAAAGATAAACAGCAAATGCAAGGGTACAGGAATTAGAGAAAAAAGCATGATATTCTTTGAGATCTGTAGGTAATTTGTCATGAAGTTAAAAAGTAGCTTTAAATTCTAAAAATTCTTGAATGTTGCACTAAAGAATTGGATTTTAATCTGAATGTAGTAGGAAGACATTGAGTGATTTTTAAACGGGGTGACCTGGGTATCATGGATTGACAGCAGTGTCTATTGAGGTGGGGGGTGTGGGTGGGAGTGGGGTTTTATAGGCTGAGATATCAGTTAAGTTCTTTTGCCCTCTCCAGAAGTGTTTGACTATTTCAGTTTTGTGGGTTTGTTTTGTTTTGTTTTGTTTTTTTAATCTCAGTTTTGGAATTAACAAAACAAAACACCACAACCCACTCCCCCCGCCCCCCAAAAAGCTAGAACCTCCCTCAAAGGATAGAATAAAAAACAACAACAAAAACCAAAGAGCTAGGACCTAGAAGCTAGATGTTCTAGCTTTGGTTGAGCCAGAAGATAAGAGCATAGATTATGAGAGTGGCACAAAATAAGAATTTGGTATGTTTGTAGTCCTGTTTTTTATTGATTAAAACAGCCTTATGTAAGAGAAAGAAGTAACAAGCACATTTCAGGTGTACTTTTTATCACAAGATTTTTTTTCTTTAATGTTACTATGAATTCATAGAGGAATAAACTTTTGCCAATTACCATTTTCATGCCTGGTTATGAAGAAAGGCATGAAAATCCTTCCCGGTTTTTACTAATGCGTTTCTAATGGTAACTGGATGAGCAGTAATTTGTTAAAACAACTTTTGTGTTTATCACATCTGTGGATATTATCCAGATTTTTAAGGCATTTTTTAGGAGTGACGTTGAATTGTGGGAATGATTCTCACCACTTCTATTGTTAAGAAGCTGATAGAAAATGTGTAAGTCATAATTAATTACTTGGTGGCAGGAGCTACTTTTTCCATTATCTTTTTTTTCCATCAATTTGAGTACACTGCAGAGTATCTTTAAAATTTACCTTAAGTTACTAAAAGCATGTCAGTTTTGATTCTAAAGGAGGATAGACCATGACAAAGTGCTACAAGCATATGTTTTATTTTGCTTTTTTTTTTTTTAAAGATTTTATTTATTTATTTGAGAGAGAGATAGTGGCAGAGAGCACAAGCAAGGAGGAGAGAGAAGCAGGTTCCCCTCTGAGCAGGGAGCCCGATGTGGGACTCGAACCCAGGATTCTGGGATCATGACCTGAGCCAAAGGCAGATGCTTAACTGACTGAGCCACCCAGGTGTCCCACATATATTTTGTTTTGATACAGTTATTATAAGAGGTGGGCACAGTGTTTTGTTTCTTGTATATTTTTGTTACCGAGTTGAAATTGATGTAAGGCAAAATGAACCATTTTAAAGGGAACAAACTCAGTGGTGTTTAGTTCCAAAACAGTTCTATCCCCCTTCCTGCAGAGGAGACGTGTATCTGCTAAACAGTCCTTCCACATTTCTCCTCCCCCGGGTCCTGGCAACCACCAGTCAGTGTTTTGTTTCTGTGTGTGTACCTATTCTGGAATCATACAATATGACTTTTTGTATCTAGCTTCTTTTACTTACTGTTTTCAAGGTTCATGCATGTTACAGTATGTATCAGTACTTCGCTGCCTTTTTTTTCTTTATTTTTAAAAAATTTACTATTTGTTTCTTATTTTAAGTAGGCTCCATGCCCAACATGGGGCTTAAACTCATGATCTTGAGTTTAAGAGTCCCGGGCTCTACCGACTGAGCCAGCTAGGCGCCTCAGTACTTCACTCCTTTTATGGCTGAATGATATTCCATTGTATGGATATGAGGTAGTTTTTCTCTTCGTCCATTGACAGACATTTGGGCTGTTTGCAGCTTTTCACTGTTGTGCATAGTGCTGGTATGAATATTCACTTACATGTATTTGTTCGAATACTAGTTTCAGTGCTCTGGGATATATACCTAGAAATGGTCAAATGGTAGTTCTATGTGTAATTTTTTGAGGAACCACAAAGCTGTTTTTCTCAGCCTCTGACTCCTTTCACACTCCCACTAGCAGTGTATGAGGATTCTAATTTCTCCACATTCTCACCATGCTTATTTTTCATTTTTTGTTTATAGCCATCCTACTGGGTATAAAGTGATGCTTCCATTGTGGTTTTGATTTGCATTTCTCTAATGACTAATGGTGTCAAGCATATTTTCATGTGCTTCTTGGTCTTTTACTTGCAAATAATTTCTCTCATTCAGTAGAGTGTCTTCGCTTTTTTGATAATGTCCTTAGATTCACAAAGGTTTTTAATGTGGTAGTATTCAGTTTTTTTCTTTGCTTATGCTTTTGATGTCATATCTAAGAATTCATTGCTAAATCCATGGTCATGAAAATATACCTCCTCGGTTTTCTAAGAGTTTTATGGTTTTAGTTCTCACTTTTTTTTTTTTTTTAGATTTTTTTTTTTTATTTGACAGAGACACAATGAGAGAAGGAACACAGCAGGGGCAGTGGGAGAGGGAGAAGCAGGCTTCCCACTGAGCAGGGAGCCTGATGCGGGCCTCGATCCCAGGACCCTGGGATCATGACCTGAGCTGAAGGCAGACGCTTAATGACTGAGCTACCCAGACGCCCCAGTTCTCACGTTTTAGATCGTTGATCCATTTTGGGTTAATTTTTGTTTATGACATGAGGTGTGGGGGTAGATAGGAGTTTTTGAAACTACTTGACCCACTCCTTTTAAATTGGCAAACACTCCAGAAAAACCTGGTTATTTATATTTTATTATGGAAAATGTCAAACATTTTCAGAAATAGTACCCTGAATTCCCATGTACTCTTTACCCAGCTTCAATGCTTAGCATTTTATATTATATTATTTTATTTTATTTTTTTTAAAGATTTTATTTATTTAGTTTACAGAGACATAACGAGAGAAGGAGCACAAGCAGGGCAGTGGGAGAGGGAGAAGCAGGCTTTCCACGGAGAGGGGAGCCTGATGCGGGGCTTGATTCCAGGACCCTGGGATCATGACCTGAGCTGAAGGCAGACGCGTAACGACTGAGCTACCCAGGCGCCCCAATGCTTAGCATTTGATGACCAATTTTATTTCCCTTTCTCTCATTCCCTCTTCCCCTCCCATGCACAGAAACACACCTGTTAGGTTGTATTGAATTTACTTCATCTGTTAAAACCTTCTCGTTTAGAAATGGAACCACACATACTTATCATACTTGAAAATTATCATACTTGAAAATACAGATTTTTTATTTTAAGTATAAAGATATGTTTATCTTGGAAAGTTTAGGAAACCTAAAATGAAGAAGCAATAAATAAGTCATCACTAGCAGCTACCATTACTCTTTTGATGTATTATTCAGTCTTCTGGACTTTCTATTTCTAAAGTCTTTACCTGTAACTCTGCACTTAAGGATGATTTTTGTGGCTGCACAGTATGGGTTCTGTGATTGATGTTGTCAGTCCCTTAGTGAGCATCTATCATCCACGTTTTCAGTATGAAAACTGAAGGATACTTTCTTTTCTTTTCTTTTTTTTAAAAGATTTTATTTATTTATTTGAGAGAGCGAGAACATGAGCAGAGGGAAGAGGCAGAGGGAGAAGCAGACTCCCTGCTGAGCAGGGAGCCGGATACGGGACTTGATCCCAGGACTCTGGGATCATGACTTGAGCTGAAGGCAGCCGCTTAACCAACTGAGCCACCCAGGCATCTGAAAACTGAAGGATACTTTCAATAATAGGATGAATTTCTAGAAATGAAGTAACTGGCTCAGTTGGGAATTTATTGTTAAGTTTTTTTTGATCAATATTGTAAATTGTTGTGTAATCAGAAACACATTTCATGCGGTTTGTGAGCTTGCTCCAGTTGCCATCTCCTCTCCAGTGTTTCAGTCTGATTTTCTCAATTACCAGTTAATTCATTGGGTAACAATTATAGTTTATACTTTTTGCCCTTTTGGCGGAGAAAAATGTACAGTGTACAGAATGGGAAATAGTATCTCTACTTAAAATGGTTAACCCTGTACTTTTGTTCAGTATCTTTGAATTACAGTGACTTTTTCATGATATTTTTAAAAGTTGGTCCAAATTGGCTTTGAAAGATCTTTTTAATACATTTAACTCCATCCAATGCTTTTTCTTGGCATAATGTCTTTTACAATTAAAAAAAAATTGCAGCTCAAGATATCAGTGCAGTGAATAGTACAAGCTGTAAGAAGAAGCCAGATGAAGATTGTGAGGGCCCTGTTAGACCTGCAAAAACCCTGAAAGAAGGAAGTGTCCTAGATGTTCTCAAAAGCCCCGGTAAGAAACAGCTGCCTTCAAAATACTCTAAAATCTTAATTACA